GATGATGATGATGATGATGATGATGATGATGATGATGATGATGATGATGATGATGATGATGATGATGATGATGGGTGGGAATCGTAATTCTGAGGGAGATTCGCTGCCGAACGGTCAGAAAGTGTCTTTTTGATCAGGTGGCCATTGATCTGTTTGCCCAACTTGGTAAGTGGTTTGCAAACATCTCGCTATCATTTGAGGAGACATCGTCAGCGCGCAGCTTTCAACAAGTGTCTTATATCTCCAGCGCGATCGTCTATTTGAAGTTCATTCTACTCAGACAAACTAAGAGTAAGGTTTCATTCAGACTGGTGATGATGACAAAGGTTTAAGACTGTACACGAGTACAGCACGATGCCACAACAGTTTCGGATAGTGCAGTTGCGTAGTGCCAGACAAAAGAAAGCATACGGATGGTACAAGGTAACGGCAACGAGGTAATGGTTAGAGTAGAGGACAAAATGTTAAGGACTGAAAGTAGGATGCGTCGTCTTGAATAGGTCCAGTACCCCATCCCAGAACGTCCCAAACTGGGAGAGTTCCGTAGGATCGTACAGTCGGATATTGTCTTATCATGCGCTTAACCCTATTGAAAACCGACAGATGGAAAAACGGATACATNGTAGGTAGCCCGGAGGTGGAGGTATTTGGCCACATTCCCTTTCTCCATCGCTCTCTGCATCACTGCGTGATATAACCACTCTGACTGTTCGTTCGTTCGCTGCTCCGGTAGGCTCGTATTCCGGTGGAGGAGTCAAAACCCGACTAGGCATTTTCGGGTAATCAACCTATAAGGAGTATGAAGAGTACTGTTCAAACAGCAAAAGACAACGAGGAAGTGGGAGCGAACACGAACTAGTCAGTGACCCAAGGAGGAGTAACGCCTTCTTAGACCTTTGCTCAACAGGTCCGAGTCTACACTCAATAGCTAGGGAAGAAATCATCAGATGTATAACGTAACGTGAACTGAACACTACTCAAAGGTTTGTTGAAAACTCTCCCCCTATATACTCGCGATATCTCGAATATTGTACCAAGTGAAACATGAGACGGCATGGTGCACCACATTCAGTTGCCTGAGAACATCATAAACGAGAGATTCCGCTGAGTTCCAGGTAAGTCTCCTGCGAAAACCAAATCGGTATGCAGATGAGTGTATAGGTCGAGGAGTTGGTCCCATTTTTCTAGTTACACTATGAACCTCTCAGTTCTATCAGTACAGAGAAGTGACTGTTAACCAAAATAAACAACTCAGATTAGTGGACGAACAAGGCATGAGGAAACTTTAGTTCAGTCGAAAATGTCCTGGGATATTGGTCTACCATGGTGAAGTTGTTAACGATTAGCGACGTGAGAATGATAACATCGTCGAAGAATGTAGGGGTCTTTGTAACCTGTTTCTTCGATGTACATTAGGAGGACGCAGTATACGCATCCTAGAATCACACTGGTAGAGACGCAGAAAAAATACTCTATTAAGAACGCCCTTCCAAGCTTCATGATACTGTTATGGACCATAGTTTTCTTAATGCCTTCTTAATACCGTGAACCCGAGTCTGGATAGCCGATTGATAGCCTGATGCGCCGAGCCAAACCAAAGAGCCAATGAACGTTCGAATCAGCTGATCGATCTACTGAACACTGACGCATACAGGCGTGTCATCTGCAGCCGAAAACGGGCTACTTGTGAAGCTGACGTGAAAAGCTCCAGGCGCGCCAAAAGGTGATACTAAAAACATAACTCATCTTTCAAGGAAGAACAACCAACTAAATCTGTCTCAACGACAAAAGGTTATTCCATTGGCAGTTGTGTAGTCCGGTTACGTTTGGAGCGCGTTCTCCTATTAGATACCAACCAAGTTTAACCTGTCTTCAAAAAGTTTACTGCAGTTTCGAACCAGTTGTTTTTGGGATAAATACCAATCGGTCATTTTGATAATTGAGGCACGGAGAGAGAATGAAGCGCTGACGATGTAGTCTAGTTTCAACTGAGTGGGGATTTTGGCTGTGCATTTCATGGGCGTACGTGACACAAGGGGTGAAAGTTAGTCCCATTCTGTTGGATTGCATTGCATCAAAAGGATGTGACAAAAAATTCACTAGTACAGGGTTATTGGTGAACTTAGGTTCACCACTTTATCGTAGATGACAGACCGATCAGAAGCGTAAAGGAAAACGAGCCGGTGAAGTGACAACAGAGTGGCTCAGGAACCGCAGGAAGAGCCGCGTAGATCTTGTTTCAACTAATGTCATTTCGTTGATTGTGCCAGAAGTACATTTCAAACAGGATCAAGTAAAGGAACATAATATGCTTCCGGTAAAATCAAGTAGTTAGCCCGAGGATTCTAAGGCTGTCACTATGGATTTGGTTGACCGGCCGAACAGGGACCTTTTCGCAGAAGGGACCAACTCGACCATGCTCATGGGTGGCCCACACAGGAGGCACCGCCATGTTCTACGTGGCGATGTGTTTAAATTTAGTAAAAACAAATACAAGAGTTGCACGTACCTTGTAAATGAGCCCTTCCAACCCGTCTAAATACCGAAGCTGTCCGAATGTGCGAGTTAAACCGAGGAAATTACAGTCAGAACTCAAAGAACGACGCTGCTCCCCCACTTAACAGTCCACCTACAGTGCTGTATTTACTTGCTAAATTATCATCTCCCGCCTCCAATGCGCAGCTACCTACCACACTTCCCTGAGTCATCGGTGAACGAAAATGTGGCAGCTATAAACATCGTACGACAAGTACGCGGTTCTTACAGCTGACGATGATGCTGATGATGACTTCGTCTAAAGAGAAATCCTAATTCCTCACGCCAGTCATTACATCGCACACACATTGTAAACAACTCACAGTAAGTAGTTCGTCCACTCTGAATTGTCTTCGACGGCGCGCCTCATCATTTGCAGATTTTGTGACCACAAGTGCCTTGATTAGTAGACCAGCAACAGCAAATGTGGGGAGGCAGAAAACGAAGGCCGTACAACCGAAAGCGAACAAACCGGTCGAAGTTACACTGGGAATCAGACAAAGCAAGAAAAATGGTACATAAACAACATGGTGAAATAGGCACACACACACACACACGCAAGCATGCTACATTCGTTAACATTTTCAATGTGACCAGAAATCCTGGAATTCTTTAGTTCGTCCTTCGGTACAACGATGTTGTAACCGATGCGGTCGTACGAACACCGTAACACCCTTCCGGTGCCAAGCTGCCATGCCACCAGAAGGAAGCACGAGGGTTGGGATACTGCCAGGTTGCCCAAGCCTAGACAGGGGAAGTCGAGAGGCAGAGGTCGGGTTAGAACCATGGACCCGGCGGCCAGTAAATTCGCACTCCAACCAGTTTGGGCCATCTCGCCCCCGGAGAGAAAGCGTCTAACAGAATGGCGCACACGGTGTATGAAACTTCCCTATCACTCGTTATGAGTGCGCTCACTGAGTCAAGCGCATCTACTGAACCTATACATTGGTAGGTCTCTGCAGGCATGAAGAACTTCGGCTTGAGTTTACTCATCACTGTTAGGATTTTAATATAAAACTTTCGACTCCAGACGTGCATCAGCAAACAAGACAAACTATATCTTGAAAACACTACGGATAAAGACTCACTCGGAGTATCGTTTGGACCCATAGACACCCATCAGAGAGACTCCCAGGATGAGAAACACGACTGATACAATGCCGAAGCAAACCGCCGCAGTCAACAACCGTTTGTGAAACGATTTTCGCAACGCGACATCTGATTCTTTAAGCGGTTTGAAAAACTCGTAAATCTGATCGGAGGCATCCATAAGTTCTGAAAGTGATAAAAATAGTAACGGTGGGTGATGAACCATAAAGACTGGCGGGCAGCCCAATCGATGAGGACTGTATTGACAGGAGAATGCAGTCAAGGAAAAGGACAGTATGGGAGCTTGAAAAAACACGTCACGCGGATTCCTTTTAGGATGCACGCTGTCTGATAATTCCAGAACATTGTTGGCGATGTTAACAGATTCCGGTGACATGGCGGGCAAGCAGAAAGTGCTGGTGGTGGTATAAGAAGTCCTCCAGAATGCGGTCGTGATACTTCCTCTACTTGGCCGAGTACACTGCCACAAACTGCGTTCTTGTTTTTATTCCACTGCTTGTAAACAAAGAGACCCAGAAGTACCTGCTGCGATAGACTAGGGTCGGCTGCATCCTCCCCCCAGGTCGTTCTGCTCTGCTACGATATGGTAGTGCTCAGGATGAAGGTTCGAAACTTGCGTATCGTTTTGCAAGGAATCCATTCAGTGAAGCTTGCAACCACTAAAGTTGTTTTCAAATGAGTTAAGTGCCCTCTCCAACGGTTCACAGGTAACAACAGCAAACTCACCACCCTCTCGTCCCTGTTTACCCAGCATTTTACATGTACATATGTAGATGTACCATACATATATACATGTACTATATGTGACGAAAGTTTGCGACGAGCGTGACAAACGGGAATGTTGACCGAGATCACCTGACCAGCTATCGTACTAAACCGTCATAAGCCTCGTCAAATAGTTCCAAGCACTTTTGCACAGGAATAAACGCAAAATAAATCCGAATCACAGATAGCTTTGACGAAGACTAGGGTGACGCAGTTGATCACTGTAATGTGATGGGCACGTAGAGCGCCAAGTTAATGTATTGCATCGCCATCATCGACAGTAAACACCAGTGTTTAACTGCTGATGAGAGCGTTAGACGTCCCAAAACTAAAGGAAAGTACCCTTCCCCTATATGCGACAGCGATGGAATAAGTAATCCAAATTCGCTAGAGACCATCTACCAAAACGTACGTCATAACAGCGGCATACCTTGTTCGAACCCGTAAATCTGGCACTGCACGCTGACCTTGGTAGCCTTTAAGAAGGCGTTTGATACAAGACGATGTGGAATTACCATCAACTACCCACCACGCCTAATCCTTCTATAGTAAACCAAATCCTGAAGGTCAATAGATAACAGCTGTATGTTTACGTTGTTGCTGTATCAGTCCGCTGAAATTTTGAGTTACTAAAAAGTCCACTAAGCATAACAGTCATCATCATCATCGACAGCATGACATCAGTGTTCAACACCTATGCTTCACTGCCGTACAACCACGATTTATTTGAAAGCCTTATTGTAAAGAAAAGAGTAAAGGCGGACGGGGAAGGGACTTAGTGCTAGCTTACCACAATCATTCCGAGGTGCCTACACCTCCAGACATTCACTCAGGCAATCGGGATAGAAACTGACAGCAAGAACGCCACTGACATCGGTTGGGAGCCATATCTTGTAGTGTCTCCAACCACACGCAGTGAGGACCACGCGGCCCCCATCCTAGAAGGCGAGTAGCACCGACAGTACCCAGGCGTTTTGTGATCTCCTTCACCCTCCTCTGCCAAGTCAACGGTTGGCCACCTTGATGTTTACGCCACTCCGAATTGGGTATGGAAAATAGTACTCTCTTCGGCAAACGATGGTTCGGCATGNTTCGGCAAACGATGGTTCGGCATACGTAACACATGTCCCAACCAACACAGCTTCTGGTGCTGGACACATTCTTCAATGGAAGTACCCATTACACAACCAAAAACGCGCTTTCTAATTATCTCGTTATGGATACGCCGACACTAACCCACACGAGGCATGGTTCTGAGACAACGATTGTCGAACACCTGAAGACGCCTCAGTTCCGCTGCAGTAAAATTCATGAGATACTTCTAATGCCAAGGAAACCCGAAACCTCAGTCTGACATTGAAGCCACTAAAGAAGGCGGAAAAAGCCGTTTTGTCATAACGCAAACTGTCTTACACCCATCTGATATGTCTCAGTAAGGGGGAGTAGCTTCATGTAACTGAGGGTTTTGGAATCCGGTCACATATTTCTCTGATCGATATCTGTGGCATGTTAGCAACCGTTTTTCTGTAAGGATCGAGGGACAGTATGATACTTTGGATGTCAAATTGAAGGGATCAATCCGGTTCGCTCACGAGTAACGCGCAACACAACCGGCTGAGTAAAGCATGTGTCGGACAGCAAGAACGGAAGCAGGGTGAAGAAAAGTCCACTTTCGTGTGCAAGGATGGCAAATACTGCACACTGCAAGATCTACCGTCAACGTAGTTGTTAATAAGCGGTAAATCAAAACGAATAGGGATCCGAACTGTTCAAGGTCGACCTAGGGGAGATTGTTGCCAACCGCGTAGGTAGAACCCGAAAATGATAACAGAAGCATAGATGTTGCGCACTTCAATTGACACAAGGTCGCAAAAGGACTAGTCGAAACCACTTTATTCTGGCAACCCAAAAAAACACCCAAAAACAGAAAAAGACACAAAGAACAGCAAGTCATCAGAAAAAAAGTATTGATTTGCAGGCTTAATACAGATTACTGCATGATTCTCGTCGAAAGCTATCGGGAAAAAGCGAATGTGTTCAGAAACCGAAAGTATGAAATTATGTGGCTCTTAATTGGTAAGTAAGTCTATGTACAACCAAATGAGAGGAATTACACTCGTAGGGAATGAGAAGCTATGAAACCATAACTGATAGGTAGTTGGATAACCGACAGATGATAATTCACATCTAGTCCATCGTTCGCAAAAGCCACCGAACAAAGCGGAAGGCTAAGTAAAGGGTGAGACCAGTTCCGATTAGGCCTTGCTGAAATTCCAGTGAAGCGACGCGCTTTTGCAAGTCCGATATTTGCGATTCCAGGCGTTTGTTGGAAGGCTTAGCGGAAACGGTAGCGGAGGGGTCTGACCCAGGCTGGGAGGAGACAGACATGGCATGTGCACTAGCTGCGGCGCGTGCATCTCTCCCACAAGATTCTGCCGTAGCATTTGCTCTGCATAGGAAGGGAGCGAGAGAGATGGTCAGGTCACAACCGGTGCACGCGTGAGATGAACACTGGGTTAGAAAACTCAAAAATGCTCACCTAGGACGAAAGTTTGTATCGAACTGGGACTTATCTCAAGTTCCGAAGATGCAAGGATACCAGCAAAACCGGCTGAGCATAAAAAATAACCGCGGGTTGACAGCCTTTCGATAACTAGTTACCTCGCGTTAGTGTAACGTTGAACCGCTTGTTGTTGAATCATGCCATCGGAAGGCATGGGAAGCGATAAAAAATCTATCAGTGAGGTTCCTATCGTGTCCCTTATACGCTGGTTCGTCTGTCACCGATCGCATGGGAACGAATTCAAACTAGTACGGAAAATGATACTTTCCATTCAATAACTGCTGCAACCCGGTATACTGTCTCAAATGACAAGTGCGATACCGGCCTGTACTCTTGGAGTAAGCTACAATGACCAGTAAAGGCCTGGTGAACAAGACCAAGCTCTGGGCCCAATGAATGATATTGTTTCTGCCCAAAGCTCTTGGAATCTTGCAGATTGCAATTGGCTGCAAACAAATTGATGCTCGAACAGATTACTGAAGTTAGTCAGATCACTGAGGAGGTACGTTCAGACACTGAATAGGAGGGGTAAATTGTGGAGGCCAAAATAACTGTCAGTTGAGCGCGGTTACAAGAGATAGTCTATCAGGAGAGCCATCGATCTTCGATGAATTAGTAAACGTTTTGGTCCGAAAACCTCCGAGAAAACCAGGTACGTCCTGAAAAGCCAATAAGCGAACTGAGCAACAGTGATGGCGCCATATCCATCAAGGGCAAGATAGGCAAAACGATTCCGCTGTCATGTCAAAGATGAGAGCACAACATGTAGCACATAAACTACTACAGAGTAGACATAACAGAACAAGCCGCTTCGATTAGAGCCAGATCGATAAACACAAGACAGTGGTATCTCACATGACAACCAGCGATTGCACACATCACTATCGAAGTCATTGGCAAGGAGAACCCTCGAATGCAAGTGGTAACACTAAATGTAGACAAACTAATTAAGCGAGTCGCAGCTACTTCACTCGAAACCACTGGAAGTTGCTATGCCATACATGTTATGCGAATCTGGATGATACTTTAGTAACGGTGCATTTGTTTTCCTGTATGAGAACAGCCATCTAGTTGATTTTGGCATTGAAAAATTCCGCATCAGTGTATTCTCCATGTGCCAGTATGTCCCACAGCCACGTTCAGATCACGACTGCAAGTAGCCCAATTCCGAAACCTCTTCACGATGAAACAGCGGCAGGTTTGTGCTGAGGCTAAGGATTTCAACCGGTTGGAATGCACTCTCTCTCTCCTGCCCGCTTCATACAGCGTGGTCCCATTTTCCACATGCAGGTAAGTCCTGGAAAATGTAAGCCCTCATTATTGGACATTCAAACAGTTCAATTTCGATTAAGCAGGTAAGTCCTGGAAAATGTAAGCCCTCGTTATTGGACATTCAAACAATTCAATTCCGATTAACATGGACATCGAAATCGAAATCGTTCTGGTGTAACACCCTTCCGGTGCCTAGCTGCCACGCCACCCGAGGGTTGCAAGAGGGCTGGGATACTGCCAGATTGCCCAAGCCTAGACAGGGGAAATCGAGAGGCAGAGGTCGGATTCGAACCACGGACCTTCCAGTCAGTAAATTCGCTCTCTAACAACTTGGGCCATCTCGCCCCCCTGGTGGATAGTGAGAGTCCGCTTCCTGGAGGTGTCCAGTGATGAAATCCTAAAACCCCGTCATGGTCTATCGCACCTACCTCACCTCCTTCAACCTAGGAGCCTGCAGAAAACATCTGCTGAGCAGCGACGATGCTAACAAACGAAAATTTGGACCCTACGCATCGGAAGACAACCGAAGATCTGGTTCAGTACTGCCAAGATTTACAGGAAGCGACTCGGTCTCCACATGGTCTATGGAGTCCGTCACTCGGCTAACATTGGGACGCAACTTGTGTAGGCCTGTCAGCCGATTGCTACCCCTGGGCGGCGTGTATCCGAGACACATCTGAAGCGGACTAATCCTATCTCAGGAGATAGTCGTCAAGGACTAAAGTAAGAACCGAGCTCACGATTATCACCATGAGCAACTAATATGTGGTAACAGTGATACAGACCACATGGCTCAAGTGGTTAGAGCGCGAAGTTACTGACCGGAAGGTCCGCGGTTCGAACCCGACCTCCGCCACTCGACTTCCCCTGTCTAGGCTTGGGCAACCTGACAGTATCCCAGCCCTCGTGCTTCCTTCGGGTGGCATGGTAGCTAGGCACCGGAAGGGTGCTACAGTTGAACGATTATTATTATTTATTTTATTATTTCCCTGTCGTACAGCCATGGTTTATTTGAAAGTCTTATTGTGCGGTGAAAAAATTGATGGGGTAAACGACTTGGTGCTAGCCTACCACAATCATTCTGAGGTGCTTACATCCAAGCACTCATTCAAACAGTTTGGATAAATACCGAGAACAAGAACGACATTGACGCTGACTGGCAGCCCTAAAGTGCAGCGTCTCCAACCAAGCACTGAGCGAATCACGCGGTCCCCAACCTGGAAGGCGGGTAGTCCCAACAGCACCCAGACTTTAAATAATCTTTTCTATACACATTTGCCAGGCCAAAGGACTGCTTCCGCCACTCTACACTGAGCACGAAAACAGCACTCTGTTTGGTAAACAATGGTTTAGCATGCGCAATACTCGGTCTGACTAGCAGAGTTCCTGGTGCTGGACACATTCGTCGATGGAAATCCGTTGTACACCCGAACACTGGCTTTCTAATTGATCGTTACGGATTAGCTAACACCAGCCTAGACGAGCTATACTTCTGAGACAACGGCTGTCGAAGACTTGAAGATGTCCCAGTTACACTTATCAAAAAATCAACCATTCAGCTTTAGCACCCTTTCGGTGCCTAACTGCCATGCCACCCAAAGGAAGCACGAGGGCTTGGATACTGCCAGGTTGCCCAAGCCTAGACAGGGGAATTCGAGAGGCAGAGGTCGGGTTCGAACCACGGACCTTCCGGTCAGTAAATCCGCGCCCCAACCACTGAGGCATCTAGCTTATCAAACAATGAAACAGCCCGTACTGTAGCCTGATAAACATGCCCCTTGAGATGCAGGGATATATCGCTTTGACGCCATGTATCTCATAATGCTCCAAGGCCTTAGGGTGCTCCAGGTTCACGGTCCAGGGTCCTACTTCAGCTGTAGGCTCCAGATGAGTGGCAGCTGGTGGTCATGAGAACTGCTGTTCGAAATATTCGGCTTGCCGATTGACGCGTTCTTCTTTATTCAAAATGGTCACTTTACACCAATCCTTGATGGTTTCACTAACAAGTGGTTTCCGAAGGCCGGTTGCACGGATCAACTAAAATAATCTTCGGGCATTTCCGGCTTCCTGGCCTCTTCCATTCCAAGTCCACCAGGCTTCACGGTCGACGCGTACGCTCAGTTTCACTTGATATCCGATAATTCGTCGGGCCAAAATATGGCCAAAATATATGCCGCAGGCGAAAGTCTCATCACTGTCCCGTCTGTCCTATGTAAACCTTGGTACAGTCATTACATTTAATTTTGTAGACACAGTCCCTGGTTCTGTTTACCGGGAGGCGATCCTTCAATTGCACCAGTGCAGAGAGCAGAGTGTTACCCCCCCCCCCTGGAAAGCTATTCTTATGTTAGCCATGTTTAGAATTCTTCGAATTACCTCCGATGTCCCTGATCTATATGGAATAACACCTGTCCCGATCCACTCCCTGTTGGGTTTCGCTGCCGGTACCAACACCCTTCGCAATTGACGCCTAATCAAGCCGGCTGGATATCCACTACGCCGAAGTTTGTTCTTTACCTCAATTTGGGCCGCTGTCCGATCAGCTTCTTCTGTGCACACGGCCCTTACACGCCTAAACATTGATGACGCAATACTGGCAAACACTGACTTCGGATGGGCGGACGAGTAGTTTAAAACTACCCCAGTGTCGGTTGGCTTCTCGTACACTGTGGTCTTTAGTTTTCTCCCGACCTTATGTGTCATACAATCTAAAAAGGCCAGTTTACCCGAGGTTGACTCTAACTCCACACTAAATTTGATGTGTGGACTCAATTCATTGGGATATTTGTAAAACTCACTAACCTTATCTCGTTTCGTCACGACAAAAGCGTCATCTACGTAACGCCAGAATATCTTAGGTGGGTATGGGAATCCGGCTAAAGCTCTCTGTTCAAATTCTTCCATAAATATATTTGCCAAAATCGGGGATATTGGAGATCCCATTGCTAGACCTTGTTCTTGATTGTAAAGCACGTTGTCGAAAACGAAGTGGGGGAGGTTCAGGCATGCTTTTATGCCTTCCACTATTTCATCCACCGTGAGCTGTGTCCGTTCTGAAAGGGTGGTGTCCGCTAATAGCAGTCGCTTAGCTATTTCTAAAGAGTCTCTTTGGGCACATTTGTATTTAATGAATTGACATCGAAACTTACCAGGATGTCATCTGGTTCAACGGTAACCCCCGCTACTTTGTTGGCAAAGTCATACGAATTCTTAATATAATTACTAGATTTGACCCCCCCCCCCAATCCACCAAAGCAAGATTTTGACAACTTCACTAACCGATAAGAGCCATTAATTGACACTCAACACGGATCTAGTGTGAAAATCCGAAGAGGATTGACTTACTGATTGGTTCACCGTCTGCCTTATAACCTGGCCAATTTGGTGACCTGCTCACTTGGCCTGATGAAGTTTTTGTGTCAAAAGCGAAACACTGCCCAAATAAAAACTACCGATTGTTTATCAAGCTCTTCTGAAACGACGACTTCTCAATCGGTCCCAAACCTTTTCCAAAGTCTGACAACTTTTCATGATGTTTTCTGTCGGCATTCACCCTTTAGTGACTTCGTCTGCAGATCATTATACAGGCTGATGGATGAACATTTGCAAAATCCGGACTCACCCCCGAGTCGGCATGAATCTGTTCTTCCACATACTGAAAAGCCACCGCTTAAACAACAAATATATAAAAGATACTGTCGATGGACTGCCGGTGAATTTAGATTAATTTGGTGTTTAAATGAGAAACTTGGGGATTATATCCAAGTGACGAGCCACCAACAGAACGGAAATGACAGTGAGCGAACTTTGTCTTTCGCTACTACGTATAGATAGCTTGCCTTTGGAGGAAAATTCAATGCTATTCTACGTGAGTTAGGATCACCACACATAAACTCTGAGCGGAAGCCTTGCTTCGGTTCGGGGGTTCCTCACCTTTATCAACTGCCTTTGGATACCGGTGTAAGGAGATGATGACCAACCTGTTTATAACAGTAGGGACTAATGTCACTATGAGGTGTCCTCATCAACAAAAGACGAAAGGCTGCGCCCGAGCAACCTGTTTATAACAGTAGGGACTAATGTCACTATGAGGTGCCCTCATCAACAAAAGACTATAAGGCTGCGCCGAGAAACGACCATAAACCGGCTATAGTTAGATTGATTGCATTGTCAGCATGGTACGGTAAGGTGCTATCTAGAGCGATGCAGTAACACTAAAGAGAGCGGCCATTAGAAAACAAGATCGGAGGATGTAAAATTTGCCATATGGGTACTAAACAACTGAAAGTGAAAGTAGCAGTGCAGATAACCATCACTCACCTTGCGAAAGTCGAACCCCGTACATCCGAATTGTTCAAAAGGTCGGGACTAAATCCCGGAGATTTCACTGAGGGATTATTGACATCTAAGACTGAGAGGAAAAATAACTTTGGATTCTACGATTTACCCAGGTCGGCAACCGTATAGTTCCGTAAGGCGATTGGTTCATCTTCGGTTGCTATTATAGACTTATCAGAATCGTATGAGATTTTGTCTGGAACGCGCATCTTCTGTTGTATGTCAGTGGTGTAATCCAATTCATAGGGGGAAAATTTTGGCACGAGTGGGTCCATTGCATGCGGAATGATAGTGCACTTAGACTACAGACCCGGTCGGTTAGAATGAGAAGCTCTTATCAATGCCTCTGTGCAGACCTCGTGTATGCATTCACACGAAAGCACGACGGGGCTATGATAGAATCTGTAGTAAGAAGAAACGAGTTATGACAAGTACGAGTGAAACGTACACGTCCAGCTAAATTTTTCACGCGCACACGCCAACATACATTCCTGCGCAATAATTTGAAACGTCACAGAACATCAAAGAGCGCACGCCTGTTTCACCTGGTAATAGCTGCGCTGAACACTTACAATACGGAAGACCGGAGTTGTTGACACTGATATGCTTTCCTGGAAGACCATTCCCCCAGTCTTTGTCAACGAAGCATTCTCCTTGATTCATTCCTAATCCTCGCAGAACCGCAACGTAGGTAGTTAGGCAGTGCACGAACGGTGTGTTCGGCATGCCGAACGTAGCACACGATGGTCTTCTCAGTGAGGATAAGTGAAACACTCATAGCTACCTATATCTAATACCCCAAAGAGTGTAGGCATGTGGTACCTTTGCTAATCCGAAACAACCGCCGAGCTCGGCGAAACGCATCAACTGCTGACTGATTATCAACCAAGTATAGTGTCTTTAGAAGCACAAGGTTTGAAGAGGCGTTCGACGTAAAAGTCTACAAGGTAGCAGATTGAAGGATGGAATTTACGGGCTAATGAAGACCAGCAATGGTTCTCCGAGTCTGACAACTCTGGGCGCGTGCTTACCACCATCGAGTAATAGTACGCCCCTCAATCAGAAGTCCGCCAGTGTAACCCAAATATCCGTCCATAACTTGAGTAATCATTATCAACATCATCCTGCCAGGTCAAAGGTAAGCTAACTTTCTGCTTGCGCCACTCTGAATTGAGAACGAAAAACGTTTTTCGTTCTGTACAGCTATACAGCTCCCTTGGCCAAGAGGTGGTTCGGAATGCGCGATACACGGCCTAAACACCGCACCAAAAGGGGCAGTGGTGTAAGCTGTTCCACCTGATTCGTTCGGTTGGTTCTTGAACGCCTCTTGTCAGCAAAACTATTAGGGACTAAAGTGGCTCTCTGATATCCAGAAAAGGAGAATGTCTGGACGGTTGGACGCAGTAACCCTAACAACAATTCAGTTGACTACCTGATACCTCCTACGAAGACTGTTGGACTTCAGCAGAAAGGTGGACTGTGGATATGGACCTTAGGAGTGTGAGTACACATCCCTACTCAAGCGTCATTATGCTGCTGGTCCTGACGACCGTCCAACTGCTCAGTCTGAAGATGGCGGTGCCAATACTGTCTAGTCTATTTGCATCTACCAGGGGAGCTGATTATAGTGCCCACAGAGAATGTAGTAATCACAGTGATGCCCGTTTGACTCGTTATAACAAGGTTCCTGGCGCTACTGATTCTTCGGTGTCTTAAGGCGGCAAGCCCGACCTAAAGCTGCCACCTTGACATGGTGAGTGCTGCAATGATCCCGCGGGCTACACTAGCTGGAACTTTCTTCCACAAAGTGCAACTGTGCCAGAAAGGCCAAAGGAGAGCAGTCAGACCAAGAGAAGCGAGGCCTAGTAACCTTACGTACTACTACGAGTAATCGTGCTGCGAGGCACTCTAGGGGTGAAGTCGTACTGTCCTCTGCGATAAGAGGCGTTCCTCCCAGGCGAAAAGCACGCCCCTATGCATAGAAGCAATGGTGCTGCCTTCACCCAAAGAAGGACGGGTTAGAAAGGTCGGCCCAAAAAACCGCACACTCCGATCGCCCAACGGTTGACCATGACCGCCGGCACATTATTCAATACGGTCAAATTACCTTCAAAACCAAAAAATTCAGTAACGCTCAAAAGGCACCCGTGGTTGCATCAGGAGTGAAACGGCAATGTCCTACACCCTGCGACTTCGGGTTAGGCCAACCCCCTGCAGCGAACACGTCAGACTATTGAGTCTTGGCTCCGGGCAGGGTCCCCAAAGAAAGCCCTACTGTCCCTTGCCTCACTGCTCAACGTTTTGAGACAGGCTCACAGTGGGGTACCTCAACCAAACCACCTTCCTCGGCCTGGGCAACCGGGAAGTATCATTTGCCCGCGCAGTTAGATGTCCACCAATTTCCTCTCCCCAACTCTTCTCACCACACAGATAAACATCGCTGGGTCATTAGACTGTCAGCTATCTGACCGAAGGGTCTCACGCTCCTCGCTGCCTATTA